ATTGGCACAGGATAGAGCAGGGTTTAGGGCTGTTGTACATAGGGTTGCTATGAGTTGCAAACGACTCGACGGCACATAACAACAACAACAACTGTAAGTAGTGTGGGACACAATGCCGGTTATTGATTAACACCTGCTCATAGTTATTATTGTTAAGTGCCACCAAACAGAATGCCACTTAGCAACCCTGTGAACAACAAATCACAGAGCCCTGCCCTATCTTGCCCCATATTACAATCTCCATCATGTTTAAAGCCCATTGTTATAGTCACTGTGTCACTTCATCTAGTTGGGGGGTCTTCCTCTCTTTCTCTGACCCTCCACCTTTCCCACCATGATACCTTTTTCCAAGCACTGGTCCCTCATGACAACAGTATGTGAGACAAAGTTTTATCACCCTTTCCTCTAAGAAGCACCCCTGATTGCACTTGCCCCAAGACAGACTTATTTGTTCTTTGGTATATTCAGTACTCTTAATGAACACTATAATTCAAAGTATCAGTTCTTTGGTTTACTCTATTGAAAATACTTTGGGTCAGGTGCACCTTAGACACTTGTTCTTTAGGAGGTCCTTGATAACAGATCTTCTCAAGGCAAAACCTCTTCTGATATTTTGATTACTGCTATCATGGGTATTGATTACAGATCCAAAGAAAATTAAATCATTGACAACTTAAGTCTTTTCTCCATCCATCATGATGTTGCCTGTTGGTCCAGTGATGAGGATTTTTGTTTTCTTGATATTGAGATATTGAAGGCTATAGTCTTTGATCTTCATCTGCAAGTACTTCAAGTCTTTACTTTCTGTAGGCAAGGTTGTATCATTTGCATAACATAAGTTATTAATGCTTCATCTAATCCTGATGCCACATTCTTCTTCATATAGTATAGCTTCTTGAATGAGCTGATCAGCACACACACTGAATGTTGTTATTGTTGTTGTTGTTGTTATGTGCCGTCGAGTCGTTTGCAACTCATAGCAACCCTATGTACAACAGCCCTAAACCCTGCTCTATCCTGTGCCAATCGCATTGCCTCTGACACACCCATCCCGATATCCCCAGTCACTGAATCAATCCACCTCAAAGAGGGCCTTCCCCTCCTGCGCTGTCCCTCCACCCTACCAAGCATGATGTTCCTCTCCAAGGTCCTGTCTCTCCTTACAACATGCCCAAAGTATGTCAGACGAAGCTCCAGAATCCTTGCCTCCACAGAGCAGCCTGATTTAACCCTCTCCAGGATGAATCCGTTTGTTTTCTTGACAGTCCAGGGTACATTCAATACTCTTCTCTAGCACCATAGCCCAAATGCATCAATTCTCCTTCTATCCTCCCTAGTCATTGTCCAACTCTCTGAAGCATAACAAGTGATTGCAACGACCATGGCCTGTATCAGGCGCACCTTAGTCTCCAGAGGGACACTGTTGCTCTTGAATACTTTAGAGAGGTCCCTAACAGCAGACTTTCCCATCGCGATACGTTTTTTGATTTCCTGGCTGCTGGTGCCAAGAGTGTTGACCGTGGAGCCGAGCAAACTGAAGCTGTGAACAATCTCAATCTCTTCGCCATCCATCCTGATGCTACCAATTGGTCCAGTGGTGAGAATCTTTGTCTTCTTGATGTTGAGTCTCAGTCCATACTGAAGGCTGCAGTCCTTGACCCTCTGCAGCAAGTGCATGAGGTCCTCCTCAGTTTCGCAAGCAAGGTTGTGTCATCTGCATAACGCAGATTGTTAATAGATCTTCCACCAATCCTGACGCCACACTTCTCCTCATAGAGCCCAGCCTCTCGGATAATCTGCTCTTGCAGAGTTGACTTAAAAAAAATTGGTTCATTTCATCCTCATAAACTCAAGATGCTCTTCTATTTTGTTCTCATTATAAACCTGAAAGTGAAAGACGTTAAACTACTTGTCCAAGGCTATGAAACAAGTGCTGGATGTGAAGATGTGGGCCCAACCCATCCAGCTGCAGTTCTTCCAGATGAGGTCCCAAAGACCTGAGATGGGACCAAGAAAAGCGATACTTCCTGTGAGGTCAGCCAGGTTAGGGTAGGCCTCTTTATGCCACTTTCTACCAAATCACAAACCTGCCTTCCTCCCTCACTCTCTCACTAGGACCCCATGTATGCATCTGCCACGCTCTCTTTGTCCTGCTGCAGTCAAATATGTGTAGCCTTGATGTGAGTCTTGCCTTTTGTGTGGTTCTAGGCAGTTACTGGAGCTAGAAGGCCTGTGGCTGGCAGGGAACAAGACCATACTTCCTCTAGCCAAGTAACAATTCTTATCTGGGCTGAAACTGTCAGCAGAGCAAAGTTCAAGACCCAACCCTCTGTCTGAACTGAGTGACCAGGTCACTAAGGATGTCTGTGTCTGGCTAGGTTACATTTGGACAGGAGATAATTTTCAGCCATCTGACCACTAGCCTTCTGGGGATTCACTCTCAGAATCCTCTCCTTGTTCCAGTTACCTTTGGACAGGACCTAAAGAGGCTCAGAGGTATCTGAAGCATAGAGAAGCAGTTTATTTTCCCTAAGGGATTCATCATTCACAGCCACACAGAGAGAACTCTCTGCTGCGCCAAGGCAGGACAGAGGAAGCACATAAGTAGACTGGCCCCCAGGGATGCTGGACACGGGGGCAGGGAAGACACAAAACACTAAGGCAGACATGGGGGTATGAGCAGTGATCTCTGGACAGGGAAACGTCCCAAGGAAAAATGAGGTTTGGCAGAACAGGGTAAGGCTGGAGGCCACTACAAAATGAGGGATGGTACCTGGAGGGCCCTGGGAAGCCATCGTCGGTTTAGCAGCCAGAGAGTTACGCCTCCAGAGCTACGCAGTGGCTTTTGACCAGTCTAAAACTGGTTTTTTGGAGCGCCTGTATGTTCTTGGCTGGCAAAGATACTCTGGCGAGAGAAGTAGTAGCATGTGGTTCCCCTTTGCCCTCTCCATCCTGTCCTGTGCCTTCAGAGGAACTGCCTCTCATGATCAGATACCTTAAGAGGGACCCTCTGGGATATCTAAGAGAGCTTCAAGGGAAACCATCCTTGATCAATGCAGCAGCCACCAGGGGAGGCAAACAGGAATAAATCCCTCAGAGCACTCAGAGTGCCTGCCCCTCAGCTGGGTCCAGTCCCCATGGTGATGAAGAGACTTCTTTCCTACTCACCCTGAACTCAAGTCTGCAGTCTCCTTTTCTACACAAGTGTGTAAAAGATCCGAAATATTCATCGCCAGCAGGAAGGGATGATAGCTACAGCCCAGAGGAGACAGTGTTGGGCTGAACTAGAACCTAAGGTCAACAGTGACCCTACCTCAAAACTCCTTGGGAGACTCCCCAAGGCCAGCCCCTAGTCTCATGATTCAGATGCTAATGTGGGAAGGAAAGGGGAGGCTGGCCAGTAGTTTTGCCTCTGTTCCCTCTAGGACCCACTTACAGGCCACAATGTAGCCATCTCCCTGGTTCCCTGATTCATTTGTTGCCCTTCTCCTCAGTCCTAAAATTACAGTAGCTAGGAGTTTGGAGTCAGGTAGTAGGTCACTTTCCTCTCTGTGCCTCAAGGCTCTCATCTCTAAGATAAAGACTAATGTCTACAGACTTGAGGTTTGATATACAGCAAATGGTCAGTAAATGATACTGGTTCATGTCACAATCTTCTGCCCCAGACACCAGTTAAGAACTTCTGAAACACTCTGCTCAGACTCCCCAGGGCTATCATGGCTCCTGTATCTCCATTCTGCCACTTTCATTCCTGCTGAGGGATAGGGTTGTCTATGCTCACGGCCTGCAGCTACATAAGTGCCCAAACCCTGTACAGACCAAACATCTGGACCTCAGAAGCACACTGCCCTAGAGACATGCTGAGGAAAGAGTGCGTGAAAAACCTTGTGGCCTGATGCACTATCCCAGCTCCTGCCATTCTTCCAGAGAGGGAAACTGAGCCCCAGAAGATAAAACACAGGTGAGGTGACAGAATAAGTGAGCAGTGTCCAAACTGAGGTCCCACCTCCAAAGCTACTTCCTCTCATTCTCTGGCCAAGCAGACTCTCGAGAGCATTCAGTGACCCAGGGCAAGGCTGGGGGAGTCTAGTGGTTCCCCACTCCAGAGCCAAGGAGAAGCCAAGGGCCCCCATCAGGTCCCTCCTCTGAGGCCCTCTCCTCACGCCCTGCCCCGACAGAAGGCTGGGTTGGGATAGTGTACAAAGCTGTTTGGGTAGGAGTTGGTCTCTGAAGCTAAGGCCCACAGACATGCTCATTCAGGCTGTGGGGGAGATTTCGCCTTCATCTTGTTCCTGGGTTCCTGGCTTGTCCTGTTTCCCCACCTGTGCAACTCTGCCAGTGTTGCTAAAGGTCGCACACAGCAATCTTGCTCCGCAGTCTCCTTGGGGGCTGTCCAGACAGCGTAAGTAACAGCCTCTGACACAGGTCCCTGCTGCACAGTTAACCCCCATTTCGAATCATTCCCCTGCTCCAAACCCCTTCCTCTGAGAGGCCTCCTCACTCCAAACTGGCCTCGTTTGTGGATTGGGGGAGCCTACTCCCTAGGGTTGGGCCAACGCATCCCGACAGACCAGGGCGGACGGGACCCGCATGCGCCTGTGCACCAGCTTCGCGCCCGCGCTGAACTCTCCAACGAAGGGAGTGACCTCGAGTAACCCCGTCTGACATCCCGGCAGAGGCGCGGCTCCCCCGGTGGCTGGGCCTCAGTCTCTCGGGGCCTCAGTCTCACTGGGCCTCATTCTCAGCCAGGACGTATCGCAGCCTCGGCGACGCAGGGGCTGCGCCGGGTTAGCAGAGCGGCCAGCCGGCCAGGACTGCGCTGTAGGGCCCAGACCCGGCAGCTCACGCACCTTCAATGTCGGTCAGCAGTACCGCGTCCAGCTCACACGGCGCTGCCAGCGCCCGCTCCAAGGCCGCCTCGCTAAAAGGAGGCCCCTCCATGGCGCGCGCCTCTCGGGACCGCTAGAGGTAGCGGAAAGATCTCCTGACGCCGAGTTCCCAGGCAGCCGCCGTCAGGGGCGGAGCCCGAGCACAGGCCACGCCTCCCGCAGGATGCAGCCCCGCCTAACCTGGCCACGCTGAGACCTCAGCACCTGCCCAGTGAATGCTCAGGGCCACGTATCCCACCCACCACCGCCTCCCACACCCACTCCCAATCCTGCGTGGGCGCCTCGTCTAGTCTCAGCCTGTTGCAACCTTGAGTCAACTGTAGTTCAGGGGCCACCACCCCTCCCTGCGCCTCAGTTTCCGCAGAAAAGTGTGGTCTTAGTCATTAGTGACTTAACGGACAGAAATTCATTTTCTCACCATTTGTTGTTGTTGTTATGTGCCATCGAGTCACTTGCGACTCATAGCGACCCTATGTACAACAGCCCTAAGCCCTTCTCTATTTTGTACCAATCGCACTGCCACCGACACACCCATCTCGATTACCCTAGTCACTGAATCAATCCACCTCATGAGGGTCTTTCCCTCCTGTGCTGTCCCTCCACTCTCCCAAGCATGATGTCCCTCTCCAAGGACCGGTCTCTTCTTAAACATGCCCAAAGGACGTCAGATGAAGCTTCAGAATCCTTGCCTCCAAGGAGCATCCCGGTTTAACCCTCTATAGGCTGAATCTGTTCGTTTTCTTAGCAGTCTATGGTACCCTCAATAGTCTTCTCCAGCACCACAGCTCAAAGGCATCAATTCTCCTTCTATCCTCCCTAGTCATTGTCCAACTCTCTGATGCATAACAAAAAGACCATGGCCTGTATCAGACACACCTTAGTGTTCCTTTCAGCAAGCAGGGTTGTGTCATCTGCATAACGGAGATTGTTGATAGATCTTCCACCAATCCTGACGCCACAATTATCTCACCATTTAGGAGGTTTTATTATTCTGGGACACCCTGAGTCGCTCCTACTCATTAGCTGGGCAAATGTCTTCTCCTTCTCTGAACATCCTCAGCATCTCTGCTGTGCTTTGTTCTAGCCACTGTGTTAAAAGTTTGATTTCTGCCTGCTGGCTCTGGAGGAAGATCACATGCTCTGCAGTGATCATGTGGTTTGATATCGCTCCCCCCACCACTTGCATGCATGACTGGCTTCTTTAATCTCTTTTATATCTTAAAAAAGATTGGCTTAAGATAGACCCTGTACAATCCTGTCTGAGTAACTTAACAAAGACAACTTTCCCCAGCAAGATTGCTATTCTACAGGCATAGAATAGAGGTTAGGACTTACAAAATACATTTTTTGGGGGTATAATTCAGTCTTTAACAAGATCCATCCCAAAGGTTTCTGGACTTGGGGTTCTCACAAACCCCACTTTCTAGAGACAATGTTTCCATCCTTGCTGTTAGGTGCCATCAGTCAATACAACTTCTAGTGATGCTGGTCCATCCTCACTATCTCGACTATCCCCAAGCCTATTGTTACAGTCACTTTATTGATGCATCTTTTTGACGTTCTTCCTCTCTTTCTCTCATCTGCCACCAGCATATCCTTTGTCCAAAAACTGCCTTCTCAGATAATCAGTACTCTTCTACAACCCTACCACTCTAGATTTTCAGAACTTCCAGAAAAATCCTGGTCAAATTATATCTCTACTTAGACTTGTTTTGTGTCCACAGGCTAGTATTTCGCCACTTAGTACCTAATTTGGTTATATTATTTTGTCTTCTCAAGATGCCCTTTGAAATAATCTGCTCATCTTTTTTTCTTCAGCATTTCTTCTCTTTGTTTTGGCCTTTTGGCATTCAAGTACAGTTTTCAATCTCTTTTGACATCCATTTTGGTCTTTTCTTTCTCCCCTGCCTTTTGCTTTCTTCATGGAAGATATCTTTGATGTCATCCCACAACTCATGTGATCTTTGATCATTAATGTTCAATGCCACAAACCTATTCTTAAGATGATTTTTCAATTCAGGTATGATAGAATCAAGATTGTATTGTGGTTCTCATAGTTGTTGTTGTTGTTAAGTGCCATTGAGTCATAGGTGACTCATAGCGACCCTATGAACGAAAGTCCTGGACACCTGTACAACTATCATCCTTTCTCCAGGTTCATAGGTTTCCACAGGCAAGCTATTATGGAAGTGGATGCCACTCCTGCTTCGAGGTTCTCATAGACTTGTTTTAATTTTCTTCAGCTTCAATTTTAATTTGGATATAAGAAATTGATGGTTAGCCCCTAGCCTGGTTTTGACTGCTGATAATTGAACATCTCCAATAATTCTTTCTACAGATGTAATCTGATTTCTGTATAGTCTATCAGGTGAGGCCCATGTCACTGTTTGTGTTTTTTCAAAAGGTTACCAAACAATATCATTGATATCACATGCAAGCAAGATTCTACTGAAGATTATCCAAAAACAACTGGAACAGCACATCAGCAGAGAACTGCCTGAAGTCCTGGGTTTAGAAGGGGTTGTGGTACTAGCTGATGTCAGATGGATCTTGACTGAAAGCAGGGAATACCAGAGGAATGTCTATCTGTGTTTCATTGATTATGCAAAGGCATTTTACTAAGTGGCTCACAACAAACTCTGGCAAGAAGGGACCAGTCCTTGGAGAGGATGCCATGCTTGGGAGGGTGGAGGGACAGCGCAGGAGAGGAAGACCCTCTATGAAGTCGACTGATTCAGTGACTAGGGTAATCAGGGTAGGTGTGTTAGGAGATAGTGAGATTGGCAAAGGACAGAACAGGGTTTAGGCTGTTGTAGATAGGGTCGCTATGAGTCTCAGGCGACATGACGGCACATAACAACAACAAAACAACATTAGCAATGAATAAAGCATTGATTGTACAAAATTCAGTCATTCTATTCTCCAGTCTCATTTCCATCACAAAGTCCTTAATTTCTGACTACCAGTCCTTCTGTTGCTAACTTTTGCATTCCCGTAACCAATTATTATCCATGAATCCTGATTGCACATTCAATCCATTTCTGGACTGCTAATGTTTGTAAAGAAAATTTTCATCTCTGGTGTATATATTTGAATAGTTGTCTTCCTTATATGTATATAGATAGTTCCCTATCACTCACAGCATTGACCTGCAAGATAGATAATGAAATTATCTTTTTTCCTATGATGGCAGCAACATCCTTTCTCATTTTTTTCCATTATAATCAGATCAAGAAGACAAAGCAAAGTATTATGACAAAATGTGCAAAGACCTGGAGTTAGAAAAGAAAGAAAGAATTAACTTGGCATTTTCCAAGCTAATAAACTGAAGAACAGATTCTAACCTCGGATTGCAACACTGAAGGATGCTATGGGCAAGATACTGAATGATGCAAGAAGCATAACATAATGTTAAGAGGGATACACAGAGTCACTGTACCAAAAAAGAATTGGTTGACATGGAACCATTTCAGGAAGTACCATATGACCAAGAACCAATGGTAATGAAGGAAGAAGTTCAAGCTGCATTAAAGGCCCTCATAAAAAATTAGGCTCCAATATCAATTGAAATGTTTCAACAAGATGCAATACCCCACACATACTCACCAGTCTCTAACAACAAACATGGAAGGCAGCTTGCTGGCCAACTGACTGAAAGAGGTCCATACATGTTCCCATTCTCAAAGAAAATGGCCCAACAGAATATGGAAATTATCAAAGAAAATCATTACTATCACATGCAAGTAAAATACTGCTGAAGATTATTTTTAAATGGCTAGAATAGTACATTCTAGAGACAGAGACGGCTTTATCAGAAATTCAAGCTGGATTTAGAAGAGGCATGGTACCAGGGATGTCAGATGGATCTTGGCTGAAAGCAGAGAATACTAGAAGACTATCTATCTGTGTTTTATTGATTACACAGAGGCATTTGACTGTGTGGATCATAACAAATTATTAATAACATTGAGAACAACAGGAATCACAGAAAATGTATTCATGTGAACCCTATATGTAGACCAAGAATCTGCTTTCTGAACAGAGCAAGGGAACACTGCATGGTTTTAAATAAAGAAAAGTGTGCTTCAGGGCTGTATCTGTCTCCATACCTATTCAATAATAAGTAAATTACTTGAGACTTTTTTAAAGAACTTTATGAAAAGAATTAGGATTTGGAGAAAGGCTCATCAACAACCTGCATTATGCAGATGATAAATCTTGCTTTCTAAAACTAATGACGACTTGAAATACTTGCTGCAGAAGATCAATACTGATTACATCCCAACATCAAGAAGACAAAAATCTTCACCCCTGGACCAATAGGCAACATCATAATAAGTGGAGAAAAGATTGAAGTTGTCCATCATTTTACCTCACTTCAGCACCCTATGGTGCCAGCAGTCAAGAAATCAAAGAACGTTTGCATTGGGAAAATGTGGTCTCCATGACCTCTCTCCAAAGTCAGATTAAATCCCATGGACTGCCAAAAGAACAAATAAACATATCTAGGAGAAAGTGAAACCAGGTGCTTCTTGGAGGCAAGGATGGTGAAACTTCTTCTCATATACTTTGGGCATATTGTTAGGAGAGGCTAGTCCTTGGCAAAATCCAAATCTATGTCAGAGCATCATTTGTTATGTCCAAGGTTAGGTATCTTGCTCAAATGTGTAAAGTGTCAATTCCAAGGCAATCAGCCAATGCTAGACACGTGGTTTCAGTAGCCAACTGGAAAATAAACAAAGAGCCAAAGAGTTTTAGGAGACTTAAACATCATTTTTATTCTAGTTCTCATACACACTACAAGAAGGAGTCATAATTTGAACAGTCATGGAACTTTCCTATCAAGTTCTTACTGTGCTCAGAACAATTTGTGAATGGACCCCTATTTTTATCAAACCATGTGCATGTGTGGTTACACTTAAAACAATGATTCATCACAGCACTACTGGGCTTGCTCAGACATGGCTGCAGTCTGAATAAAACTGCTTATGATATACATAAAACACAATTCAGTTTAGGACAAATCTGCCTGGTGGGTATGCACAATACATT